ATGGCTGCAGGGGCAGCTGCAGGAGGGTAGGGAATCCCCAGGGGTTTGTGTATGACTTATTCACACACCCTCACACTTTTTGGTAGCCATTATAAAAATAAGTTGCAAAATATACTTAAAGGAAAATAAGGTGGAAAAATAAAGTTAATAATATGAGGATAAGAAGTTAACAAACTTCAAAAGAAAAAATATCAAAGGTTTTAGAGAATGACATAGGAGAATATCACTGTATGAATGTGTGTATGTGTCTTTGTGTGTGTGTGTATGTGTGTGTGTTTATATGTCTCTGTGTGTGTGTATGTGTATGTATGTGTATATTTTTGTGTATGTGTGTGTATGTGTACGTGTCTGTGTGTGTATATGTTTGTATGTGTATGTATATCTATGTGTGTGTATGTGTATGTATATGTGTGTATGTATGTTTATGTGTTTGTATTTGTATGTGTATGTGTGTATGTGTTTGTATGTGTGTATGTGTACCTGTGTGTGTATGTGTATGCATGTGTATGTGTGTATGTGTGTGTATATGTGTGTATAATATGTGAGAGTGTCACTCCTGCTTGAGGTAGGAGATGATTTTTTAAACAAGACATGAAAGCACTAACCATAAAGGGAAAGGCTGATAAATTAGAGTGCAGCTAGTATAAAAATAAGGACTTCCATTCATCAAAGGACACCTTAAAGAAAGTAAAAAGGTGAATTGCAGAGTAGGAGTGGATATTTGCAACACATTTAACTGACAAAGGGCCTATATCAAGAACATATAAAGAAATCTTGCATATCAATAAGAAAACAAAAACTAGAATATAGTGAGCAAAAGACTTGAATAGACATTTCAAAAGAGCAATCTCAATGGCCAATAGAAAAAGTGTTCAATTTTATTTGTAACCAGAAAAATGTAAATGAAAACCATCCAAGATACCACAACTTATCTACCTGTATTGGCAAGATGAGTATCAACAGGGATTCTCATACACTACTGGTGGGAATGTGAATTGGTAGAGAAAAGCATGCACATAATCCCAAGGAGACATGTACAAGAATGTTCCCCAAATCAGAAACCACTGAAATGTAAGCAACAGATGACTGATACATAAATCGTAGCATCGTCATGCTAAACAACAATAAAAAGGAATGCACAAGGCTATCGATGAGAGAATTGTAACTTTTTTTCATAATCAGGGGCACAAAGCAGACACAAAGGAATACATACTACATGAATCTGTTAATATAAAGTTCAATAATGGGTAAAACTATGTGTAAAAACTAAAAGCCTGATATTTTAAAACATTTAGGCAAATTATTAAAAACCTATGAAATATAAGTAGGTGTAATGGTTAATTTTATGTCAACTCGATTAGGCCACGGTGCCCAGGTATTTGATATGATCTATTATTCTGAATGTTTCTGGGACAGTGTTTTTGGATGAGATTAACATTTAAATCGGTGGCATTTGAGCAAAGCCAATTGCCTTGTGTTATGTGGATGAGCCTCATGAAGGCCTGAATTGAATAAAATACTGCCTTTTCCTAAGCAAGAAGCAATTCTGCCATCTGATGGCCTTTGGACTTGAACTGCAACACTGACTTCTTCCTGGGCCTGTAGCCTGCCAGCCTACCCTGCAGATTTTGCACTTGCTAGCCTCTATAATCATGTGAACCAATTCCCTAAAATAAATAATAAGTAATAAGTCTCTCTTATATGAGAGAATTGGATTTTTTTTATATATGTATATGTGTATATATATATTTGTATATATGTGTGTATGTGTGTGTGTACATATACACACAAATTGTATTGCCCTTTCTCTGGAGAACCCTGATACGATAGGCAAAAGTGTTTACAAATATTAAGAATAAATGAAATATGTATAAAAGGTAAAGGGTACGAGACAAAGAAATAAAGTAAACATGAAGTAAAAGATAAAAGACAGATGTGAAAGGCAGGTCAAGAGAATTTGAAAATGAACCAGGAGATGAGATTGATGCCTATGAATACAAGTCAGGACAAAACCAGGTAAAATTCAAGAATAAAACCTAATGTAAAAACAATTGAGGGGAAATATCTATAAAAGAAAACAGAAGCAAAAAGCCTGGGAATGACAATGAGAGAAAGAGAAGGAGAGAAGGAAGTGAGCTAAAAGCAGTAGTTTGTGGAACCAGGTGTGAGAAAACCGGACTTGCCCGTAGTGTAGAGCCTTGTTGCTGTGATGACAACCCGCCCAGGTGTATCCTGTTGCAGGAAGTCAGGGACCCCAAATGGAGGGACCGGCTGAAGCCATGGCAGAAGAACACAAATTGTGAAGATTTCATGGACATTTGTTAGTTCCCCAAATTAATACTTTTATAATTTCTTACACCCGTCTTTACTGCAATCTCTGAACATAAATTGTGAAGATTTCATGAACATTTATCACTTCCCCAATCAATACCCTTGAGATTTCCTACGCCTGTTTTTACTTTAATCTCTTAATCCCATCATCTTCATAAGCTGAAGAGGATGTATGTTGCCTCAGGACCCTATGAGGATTGCGTTAACTACACAAATTATTTGTAGAGCATGTGTGTTTGAACAATATGAAATCTGGGCACCTTGCAAAAAGGACAGGGTAACAACAAAGTTCAGGGAACAAGGGAGATAAGACTTTAAACTCTGACTGCCAGTAAGCCGGATGGAACAGAACCATATTTCTCTTCTTTCAAAAGCAAATAGGAGAAATAATGCTGAATTCTTTTTCTCAGCAAGGACATCCCTGAGAAAGATAATGTGTCCTGAGGGTAGGTCTATAAACGGCCCCCTTGGAGGTGGCCATCTTTTACGGTCGAAGCTGAGGGGATGAAATAAGTCCCAGTCTCCTGTAGTGCTCCCAGGCTTATTAGGCAAAGAAATTCCCACCTTATAAATTTTGGTCAGACAGGTTGTCTGCTCTCAAACTCTGTCTTCTGATAAGATGTTATCAATGACAATGCGTACCTGAAACTTCATTAGCAATTTTAATTTCGCCCCATCCTGTGGTCCTGTGATCTTGCCCTGCCTCCACTTGCTTTGTGATATGCTATTACCTTGTGAAGCCTGTGATCTCTGTGACCCACACCCTATTCATACACTCCCTCCCCTTTTGAATATTGCTAATAAAAACTTGCTGGTTTTACGGCTCAGGGAGCATCACGGAACCTGCCAACATGTGATGTCTCCCCCGGACACCCAGATTTAAAATTTCTCTCTTTTGTACTCTTTCCCTTTATTTCTCAAACCAGCCGAGATGCTTAGGGAAATAGAAAAGAACCCACGTTAAATATTGGGAGTGGGGTTTCCCCTGATAGTATCCTTTCTCACCCTCCTTTTCTCTGAAGTCTGGAGGAGCTAGACCCTGACAACGGCACCTTTACCTGCCTGTACCTGCTGTGGCAGGGCCATAATTTTTCCATCTAAATATGTGGAGTTGACCAGGCTGCTGATGCACCAGCGGCCCTGGAATATCTCCACAAGCCCATAGCCTGAAGTAACTTAGTGTCACTGTGTATTTCCTTTTGGTCTTTTATTCCTCTTGTATATTTGTATTTTTACAGCGTCCAAATTATATCCTATATAAGTTTTATATTCTGCCTATTTTTGCATCCCATTACGTCATATTATTGAAAATTTTTTAAAGATTCAATTTTTAATGGGTACATGACATTCCATCAATTGGAGTCCAACAATCCCATCAATTGTTCCACAAATATTTGTTGAATGCATATGATGTGCCAGGTGTTGTATGGCTTGTTCAAGGTCACTCTTAATTAGCAGTTGAGTGTGGGACACATGGGAAAACCAATGAATGCACTGCAAAAGGCATTTTCTTCACTGCTCAGAGGCCCTCTGCTGATGCCCAGGCTCGCAAATGGTCCAGGTAACTGAATTTGCCTGTGTCGACTGGAAAAGTACCTCTGTATTTTAGCACCTACATGGGTCTGAGCACTGACCCAACTCACAAATATCCATTGTGGATTTCTGGTAAGGCAGAGGAATTTTAGGACCTGTGTTTGTCAGAGATAACATGGCAATCTTTTTCCATGATCTGCTTCTTTACTTTTTAAATTTATGTTTTCAAATACCTAATACATTCATGTGGTTCTACATTCAAGACGATATAATCATGTATACCATGAAATGGCTCATTCCCACCACTTCATCTGCTGAATATCTACTGTTTCATTAATTTTTTGTGTATTATTCTGAAGTTTCTTTATGCAAATACAAATGCATACATGCTTATTTTTTCCCTCTCCAACACAAAAAACTATCGAGAATGTATATATGTTATCATCTTGCTTTTTGCATTTAATTATGTTTCTTGGAGTTATTTCCATATAAGTAAACGTCTTCCTTCCTTGATCATTTTGACTCCTATAGTCCTATACTCCTATGCTACTCCATTGTATGGCTAACTAGAATTCTCTAACCAATTACTGGTTAATGGGTATTTGAGTTTGCCATGAAGTTTGTCACCTCAAACAAGGTTGCACTGACCAACCTTGTGCGTAATTTATTTTGTACCACATAACTGGCAAATACATTTAGAATTTTGATACATATTGCCAAATTACCTTCCATAGAGTTTTGGCAATATCTATTCCCACCAGTGCCATTCTTAACCACACCTTTGAACAGGGACTCAGGACAATTGTTTATTGAGTTAGCAAACTGAACATCTGCCCTACACCATGCCCTGTGCTGACAACCACGCCCCAAAGAAGAATAAGATGCTGCTGGTACCTTCTTTCAATAGAGGGAGAGATAGACTTACCAAGAAATCTGACTTACCAAGCAAGTCAGTATGTGAGAAAGCACCATAGCATCACGCAGAAAGTGCTATGAGAACATGGACAAAGGGCGACTTATTCTGCAAGGAGACATTCAGAGGAAGCAACAATTAAGCTGGGTCTTGAGAGACAAGCAAGTTGCCAAGGATAAGAGAGGTATTCAACACATGAGGGGACTGTGAACAATAGCTTAGACGCTTGTTTTGAGAATGATGGATAGTGTGGCATTGATCAAGCATGAGGAGCTAAGGCTAAAGAGGCAAACAAAAGCCAGTGAGAGAGACCTTAGTTGACTGAGTCTTCCTCTTGTGAAAACTGAGCAGTCTTATGGGTTTGTTAGTGGCAGTGACATGGTCAGATTGCCTCCCAGCCACATTCTCTATCCATTCTCTTCCTCTGGACTCCAACACACCAGAAGCCTGGCAGTGTGTGTCCATTTCACCCCAGGGGATCATTCAGTGTCTCAAACTCAGACCTCACAATAGCCCCCAGGTAAGTCAGTTATGATGCAAGAAATGTTTGTGACTTACCCTCAGGCCCTCATCACATTGTCTTAGAAACAAACTCCAGGCATGAACACCTCCCGTCCTAGCTTATTGGCGGAGTATGATCAGAGAACAGAAGAATGACTGTCAGAGGATTGAAAAACAGAGGGCTAGTGACACAATGGCCCAAGAAAGGAAGAATGAAAAGCCAGTCAGAATATTTAATACCAGCTATTCCTTTCAGGATCAAACCCCAGTGAGTTGTCAAGAGGATATGAGTTCTGCTTCACCGTTGGGGTGAGTCTGACTTGCACTTTAGTCTGTCCATGTCAGAAAGAGGCCAAGTGGAGAAGCCTACCCAGTGGTTACAGAAACCCCTGCTCATGGCGGCCTCAGCCTGGCTGGTGCAGAATAACCCTTTATGAGCCTTCCTACTCCAGGAGGGAAAAGTAGGAAGAGCTTTTCCAGAATTCTGATAATTCTGATACTCCTGCTTCTCTTCTTGCAGGACATGGAGCAAATTCTACAGATCAGACCCACGGATTGCCCTCGGGAAATACTCCCCCTTGGAAAAAGAGATCCTAGTAAGTGTCCCACAATTTTCACACAGAGGGGCCCCACTAAAGCCAGCCAGTTTAGCTAGGGGGAGCCAAAGGTTCAGAAACCACCAGTAATAGAGCCGCCTCTCCAACAGTAGACTTGTATTGGCTGAATCTGCTAGTGGCTTCCACACTTGCACAGCAAATACCCTTACTGACAAGTCCCACTTACAAATATAAGTAATAACAAATAATGAAAACAGTTATTTCTTCAGCTCTTACCTTGCACTGGTCACTTTCATATATGTTGTCTTGTCAAGGCTTCACCAAGACCCTGTAAAGTCAATAAAATTATTCTGAATTCATTGTAGGTCAGAGGAGAGTCAGGATTTGAACCCAAGGTTATCTGACCCCAAAGGTTCACCTGTTTTCCACTACAGAGGGGCTCAAACACTTTCCACAACGGAGGGAGAACCAGTCACTAGCGAATTGTTTCTGTGGGTGCCACCTGCCCCTGCGGTCTTGAGATTTTAATAATCCTTTCTGCATTGTCAGCATCTAGGGGGCATTCACACCATAGCAGCAAGAAGGCTTTTGGCTTACAAGCACGAGGAAGAATGCCAAATGCTCAAGGAACTACAGTTGCTGTCTCCGGACTACAAACGGGCAACGGAGTATAAAAAGGAACATTCCTTACCTTGTGCTATTTGTGCACCCCTAGAAAAAATATGGACAGCAAAGGTGATTGTGCCCCTAGAGGCATTTAAAATGCCACAACGAGAGCAGGTGAACGTCAGTAAGCACATAGAGAGAATGAGGCTTGCTCGGGCTCTGGGAAATCATCAGTGTTTACCCTACATTGAAAGGTTTACACGCTCCTCATTTCTGTCTGGGGTGGACCTGGGTCCAATGGCAAAAAATAAAGCCAGACAAAAGGAGGACAACTATGACACCCATAATTGTGATGATGCCAACCAAGATGAGAAAGAGGTGGCAGAGGGAAAAAATACAAAAAGACGAGAAATAAAAATTAATGTAGTTTTCAAGTCAAAAGAACCAAAAAAATGTTTGACTTACCATGGAAATGATCGCAAATCTCTCCTCCCCACAAAGAAACCGGAACGGTCCATCACAGGCCTAACGAACCGAAATCTTTTCTGCGTATCAGAATTCCCTGGTGACTTAATGCTAATGAATCAGGATTTTATATCACGGAGAGACCACTTTAGTGACGTGGTCAAGACCTACAACCTGGAAGAAGAGAGTATCTGGAAAGAGCGCATGCGTAAAGCAACTCCTTATCATTATTAAAGTTTTATTTATTGCCCAGGATAACCACGTGTCCTGGTCCTTATTATTCCTGCCAGCTGTGCCCCAGGCTCCTTGCCACCCCATCTTATTTTGGGACTTTGGCTTCCCCTGCCCAGTCTCCAGGAGGGCCTCAAGGTAAGACCTACCTGTTGAGGCTTCCTGACCTCAGGCAACTCTTGGCTGTCGCTCCCACCCTCAGCAACAGCCCAGGCCTTCTCCTAACCTACTCCCATTGGGGTGTGTATCTGTTATCTATTTCCATGAAACAAATCACCCCCAAATTTAGTAGCTTAAAACAACAATCATTAATTTTACTTGCAATTTTGTGGGTTAGCAATTTAAGCTGGGCTCAGCTGGGTGCCTCTCTTGAGCTCATCTGGGTTCCTCATGTGTCTGTAGTTAACTGCAGGTAAATTAGTTGGCTCTCCTTCTGGGAACTGACAACTGTTAACTGGGTCCATGGGGATGACTGGGTCACATTTTTCCTTCCTCCAGTGGGCTAGCCCAGGCTTGTTCACAGGGTCATTGTGGGGTCCAAGAGGGTGAGTGGAAGTTTGCAAGGCCTCTTAAGATCAAGGCTCATAACTGGCACACTGTCACTTTTGCCACATTTCTGTTGTCCGAAGCAAGACCTGAGACCAGCCTAGATGCAAGAGTGGGTAAATGAACTTTATCTCTTGATGAGAGACCACATTGCAAAAGGCATGAAGACAAAGAAGTGGGAATATTTGGAACCATTATACAGTCAATAGCAGAGTCCCTGGAGCTGGGAACAGCCTGTAGTACAACTGAAGAAAAGAATGCTATGCCCACATCTAAAAGTTGGAGGTCTCTTTCATGCTCTCCACTTCCTGCCCAGGCATGCAGCTTCTGCCTTGGAAGGTAGAGCCAGCCCTTTCCAGCCTTATTTCTTTGCTACCCTCATCTTCAATGCAGCCAGGCAGTCCACACCTTCCTCATCAAGTCAAGTGCAGTCGCAAGGCATGCATGGCTGTAGCATGCACAATTCCTTTGGGCATGTCAGGAGCAGGTACCAAATGTCTCTGAGGTCACTATTGCTACTCCTATCAAGGCTTTGCCTGTGCCCCAATATGGCAGATATAGTAGACAACAACTCGGGCAGTCGGACTTTACCAAGATGGAGCTCTTATTTCTTACAATGCTTGGCCATCAACAAAAGAGGATGGCTCAGAGAAGGGCTGACCTTTCCAAGTTTGCTACAAAATATGAAAATGGGTTCTCATGGGAGGAAAGAATTGGAAGCCAGGAGTTTTCTAGCCTCTTCCCTGTACACTGCCTCCTCTAAACATGCACACACACATAGACACTGCCATGGGATCTTGCTCATTGTATAGTTCTCATGACAAGTCTCCAGTTTTCACCAATGACCCTCACACCTGCTCTGAGCCACACTCACAACCAGCCACCAATTCATAGCCATTCTGTCAGACTTTCATGGCTAGCACAGACTTCATCAAATTCAAAGCACACATAGCCTGTATAGATGGGACGTGTCAGTCCCATCTCCTTCCCTCCTTTCCCAGTAATCAAGAGAGAAGACAGCTGGCCATTGTCCATGACCTCGGGGAACTGTTTCAAATTGTAGGCTTGCTCACAGGCCATTTTCTTGATGCTGTGCTATTCAGTGAAAAACTGAAGTGCCCATTAATCAGTGGGCCATGGGAGTTGGGGGACAACCAGACCCTGGGCTGCACAGAGACATGAACCCTCAGCCTCTTAAGTATCTTATAGGTCAGACTCGAGTTCTAGGTGTAAATATGAGGTGAAGCATTTTTAGACATCTAGAAGAAATGAGGATTTTTTTTTCCCCAAATGACAGAAATCTTGTTGCCGAAAAAGGGTGTCCTGATCCAGACACCAAGAGAGGGTCTTGGATCTTGTGTAGGAAGAAATTCAAGGTGAGTTGCAGAAAGCACTGAGAAGAGATAGTTTATTGAAAGCTACTCAGTTCCAGAGTAGGGTGTCCTCAGAAAGCAAGCTGAGGAATGCATCATCTTTAAGATTTTCTTATACAAGGGTCTTATCTGTGTAAAAGCTAAGCTATGACAATATGAGGGTGGGCCGACAGCGTGACAAGATGTATTACTTTGTTGATTAAAAAAAAAGTTATTTTTGGTATTTTAGTGTGTAGATACATCAAAGCATGTCTAGAATCATCTTAAAAGCATATATTATTATGTCATATCGGGACATTTGGACATTTCATTGTAGTAGGAGTTTCTCCTTACAAGCATTATTAATCTGTTTCCTCAGCCATAAACATTTCATGACCATGGGTCATGACTGGCAAGGATTGTGCCTTGCTAGTTTTAAGATGGAGTTGATTTTAAAGTGGTGTCACCCTGTTTCCCTAACAATCTCACCCTGAATTCAAGCCAGCACCTTCACCGTTTGAGACACATGATGCACTTACTCACTGTCTGCATCTGAAGCATACAGGGATTCCTCCGTTAATCACACTGTGTCCTCAGCAACTCCTCACAGAGTTGGCAAGACACTGAACTTGCCCACAGGGACTTACAACTGCCTGAGGCAAAGTCAGGTTCCTTTCTAGCTCCCTCTTGCCAGTGGATTTTCCACAATCGGCCTTTTCAAAGCCACAGCTCCCCTCCAAGCAGAGGGAATGTCATTAGCAGGAGACTTCACCCTTTCTCATTTTTCAGGACAACTCCATTGCCCACAGCTCCAAGTTAAGAGCATTTTGAAGTATTGTGTCAGCAGCTGCTGTGGCCAAGACAGTGATTCTGGGCAGTGTAGCCTTGTCCCCAAATATCGGTGGATTCTGATTAAAGAATCAGCATGAATCAAAGAAATGGGTTAACTTTTCAGCCGAGGCAGAGTTAGAAATTGGAGGTGGAGATGAGGAAAATATCATTTCCAATGTTGAGATAACCTCTTAAATATGTATAAAATAGTGAATACCAAAGCATCCTCTGAAAACTCAAGCCAGTTTGAAAAAACTGAAAATGATTTATCTGGACCCTAAAAATTGCTTAGGATCAGCTACATGATGTGGTATAAAGTTCACTAAATGAGAAATAAGGAGATCAGTGCTCTCCCTACAGCTCTGTTCCCAACCAGCTGTGTGACAGTGGTAAGCCACCAGGCACTCTGTGACTCAACTTCCCCATCAGTTAAACGAGTGCATTGAACTAAATGGTCAGCAAGGCTCAGGTCTATCATTCATTTAATTAGCTGCGTTCAATGGAGTTAGGTGTTGACTCAATAGTTGCTGACTCCTCACCATCTGCTTAGTGTGGACAGTAACGACCTAAGTATTGTGTTACAAGAAGGCCAGGTGGTGCTGGCATAGAGATATTTTCACTGACCCAAATTCTCTGAGATGCGGAAATCACCTCTGAGAACAAATTCAACCCTTTGGAAAGAGAAGAGGTCAACAGAATGCCAAGCTATTGCCTTACTGGCCGTTGTCAATAGCAAACTTGTTGATAAGTGTGATATTAATTGCAGTAAACATTAATTACCTGGAGCCATTCAGAATATGCCCACAGTTTACCATGTATGTGTATGCCATCTTTCAGGAAGTCTACATGAAAATAAATGTAGATTCGGATTTGAATTTTTGAAGGTTTTAGAAAATGCCCTGGATTAAGTACTTATTTATCTTAACCACCACTTACCTGAGTTTCATAAATACATCCAGATGATAATATTTGATGAAGAGATAAGTGACCACAAGACCCTATGAGAGTCTTATGCTCAGTAGATTATGCTAACGGTGATGACGAATTTAGAAAGTCTTTGACATAAGCACTGGACACAAAAGAAAGCTCTGGTAATGAGTTGCTTAATCTGAAATTTCTAACAATCCCTGTTCCCTGAGAATGCTGATTAACAAAGAAGCCTTGGAGAACAAGTGATCAATTAAATTTTTACCAAAAGTTTGTTATTGGGTTATCCAACAGACGAAAGCAAAATATAAATAGGCTGGGCATGGTGCCTCACACCTGTAATCTCAGCACTTTGGGAGGCTGAGGCAGGTGGATCACTTGAGGTCTGAAGTTCGAGACCAGCCTGGTCAACATGGTGAAAACCCATCGCTACTAAAAATACAAAAATTATCCGGTGTGGTGACATGCCTGTAATCCCAGCTACTTGGGAGGCTGAGGCAAGAGAATCACTTGAATCTGGGAGGTGAAGGTTGCAGTGAGCCAAAATTGTGCCACTGCCCTCCAGCCTGGGCAACAGAGCAAGACCCTGTCTCAAAAAACAAAAAGATAGATATTTTGGAGGAAAAGAATCTGATAGTAGATTTTCACATAAGCTGAAAGTAGTCATTATTGAACAAGTCAGAACTTCTTTGAACTTCCTTTCACTTATAAATTGACATTGATTTTATTTAGAATTGCTTTTGTAAACAGATGCTATCATTTTTTCCATTCCTAGAGGCTATATAGCTTTTAATGTGGTCTCACCCCTGACTCACAAGGGCCCTGTGAAATCAGGCAGGGCTCCTCTATGATGATGGTGTCAGAAGTGGGTGACTAAATTGGGGTCAAACAAGCTAAAGAAGGCTGAGTGTGGTGGTTCATGCCTATAATCCCAGAACTTTGGGGTGATGAGGCAGGTGGATCACTTAAGGTCAGGAGTTCAAGACTAGCCCAGCCAACATGGTGAAACTCCAATTCTATTAAAAAAAAAAATTAGCCAGGCATGGTGGTGCACACCTGTAATCCCAGTTACTCGGGAGGCTGAGGTAGGAGAATAGCTTGAACCAAGGAGGCAGAGGTTGCAGTGAACTGAGATTACTCCACTGCACTCCAGCCAGGGTGACAGAGCAGGGCTCCATCTCAAAACAAAAACAAAAGCAAACAAAAACAAGCTGGAGGATCCTGGGGTAAAACATCTGGCTAACAATTTGGATATGACCAGACGTTTACCTCCATTTCCTGAAGAGACACTGCATTTGTTCTATAATTCATCCCTAAACCGAATCCGTTGCCCTCTTCAGGGATCCCATAGCAACTTGACTCTGCTC